GGAAAAAATCATAAACATTATAATGGAAGAAACAGATCATTAGGAAATCATCGAAATTCGTTAAAAACCATAAGAAACATACAACGTAATATATGAAAGGTGNAAAATTATCAGAACATAACACCTAAAAATACGGCAGTCAAATTATGATTGCTGGACAGAGGAAGCACATATCAACGTAAAGAAGAAATATACACCTGCGAGNCTGCGACTATACCCAAAATCTAATATATAGAAGAAAACATAGTTGCACCTAGGGTTTTTACTTAAAACCGACATTTAATGATGGGTCGAATTTAAAATCAAGCCCAAATCCAACTAATTATTATCATTAAACATAATATTTTATTTTTTTAAAATTGTCGATGGTAATATTAATATGTCTATTTTATTAAGGATACATTTAATCAACCACCCTCAAATTCATTCTGAGACCGCCACGTAGGATTTGGCACTTCATATATAATTATATAATTATATAGATTGTTATGCGAATCAATCCATTTGCCGACATAGAAGATACCATAAAAAAAAAATCAATCCGAAATAAATCCGGTTCGGTTAACGACCTTATATAAACCGTACCAGAATTAAGGAAAAACCCCTAAATCAAGCTTTCATCTTTACGAGTTTCTTATTCTGGAGCAATCTTGGTTCGGCGATTCTCGTCGGAATTCGTACAATCCGAATGTTCAACAGTGTTTTCTAGCTTCTGGGTTTTGTTTCAATACAATGACAAAGTTGGAAATCGAAGAGAAACCTAAGATATTCGAAGAAGAGAACATCAAACCTAAGCGTCGTCGTCGGGAGATTAGCTCCGATCTTGTCTTAGAGAAACAGTACAAAAGAACTCTACTTTGCGTAGCGAAACCGTCTTACCTTTTGTCTATTGGTTCAACATCACACCGAATCGAGTATATCAACGAGTTACCAAAGATCCTTCGTGAGTTACTTCGACAGAGAAATTGGAATGATGCAAGTCGTGTACTTAGTGTTCTTATGCAAGGAACTATGAGAGATTGTTCTCCAATGATGAACAGGCTTAAATACGAGGTTCTTGCTTCTTCTTCTTAGTGC